ACCGAGTTTGGTACAAATTGGTAGAACGGTTACCGATATACTTATATGTGATCATAAGTGGGCGGTGCCACGCCCATTTTCCAAAATTTTATCCCAAACATGTTTCTTTGTTAAGAATTGTTGCAACCATCAATTTTGAAAAAATTAGCTTTAATATTTCGTATTTTTCTAAATTACCGCTATATGGGATGTGGGCGTGGTTATTTTCCGATTCTTTAAATTTTCGGCCATTTGGTATGCTGTACCAGGACCAACAACTGTGCCAAGTTTGGAAGAAATTGGTGTAGCGGTTACCAAGATATACACATGTAACCATAAGTGGGCGTGGCTACGCCCATTTGCCAAACTGTTTTAATATTCTTATTTTTCGTCTAAAACTCATTGTAAATATAAATTTTAAGTGAATTATCTTTAGTAGTTACTAAAATATCGCACTTTTCGTACTTCTGAAAATTACCGTTATATGGGAGGTAGGCGTGGTTATTGTCCGATTTCGCCCAATTTCAATACCATCCGTCCTACGCCCAAAAGAAGTCTACGTACCAAGTTTCGTTAAGATATCTCAGTTTTTACTCGAGTTATCGTGTGCACAGACAGACGGACGGACGGACAGACAGACAGTCACCGCTTAATCGATTTCTCTTTTCATTCTGATCATTTATGTATACATTTGTCTATATCTATCTAGATTCGTTTTGCCTGTTACCAACAACCGTTATGTGAACAAAGTTATAATACCCTTGTGCACAAGTGCGCTCGGGTATAAAAAACCATACGGCCACTTTTGGCATTTACTGCCATTATCGCCCCGCAGAGCGATAGACCACGAAACGACGGCGAACGAAATTCGTATTTTGCTTTGGCTGTTTTCAATTTCATATGCCTTCGGGAGAAAACTTCATTAAAAAAGGACCACAATGGGAAAAATGGGACTAATTTGTTTCGCATTTCATTAACATACAAGCAATGCTTGCAATATTTTATTTAACAAAACATGTTCATCAACGTAAAGATTGGTTCCTAAACAATAACAAAAAGTTCTTCAATTCAAATTACACATAAAACAAAATTAACATACAATTTATCACATACGGGCACATACGTCAATTTTATATACACATTTATATTACATTTATACATTTATTACATTTACTACATTTATATATATATTTATTATATTATATTACATTTACATTTATATTATTATCACTCCATACAAAAAAAAAATCTGGCATTGTTTTTCCATCAGAATTATATTTTAAGACTTCCACCAAAATATTTCGAGGAAATATTTAGAGCTGAACCGATTAGAAAATATCATCAAAAATCTCATTACTTTGATTCCGCTGATAAAATGTTTAAACATTTTTATGCAGCCTTTTTAAGCTTAAACTCTTTTATCTGATGAGATTTTTTGGAAAACATATTTTTAATAATTTTATTTATGAAAAATTCGATTTTTGGGTAAATATTTTAAAATCGGTACAGCTCACGTAAATCTTAATGCTTTTCCAAATTTGTTTGGCGGAAGTCTTATGGCCTTATTCATAAAAAATAAGGTAGGTTTAAAGGGCTTTATAAAATGACATTTTCATACATTTTTTCAGTTTATGAACCTTTTTAAAGCTACATTATTTTTTATGAATAAGGCCATTAAAATTTAATAAAACACGCAATTTCTTTTGGCAAGGCACTCTAGTGTATGTATGTATATATGTATGTAGATATCAATGTAATACATATGTAATTACCTGACTTGATAAATTATTATTGCATATACTAAACAGTATCATATGAAATTGGGAAATTCTGACTATCATCGATCTAACTGGTGATTCTATTGCAAACCCAGTAGTGTGTTTTACTAACCGCACAAAGTGTTTTGGACAACATTATACTTATGGTTGATTGAACTGAACTCTTACTTGTTTCGTAGTTTAGTTTTAATAAGAGATAGTTAGAAAAGTTTAAGTTGTCAACCGCGTTGTCAAAGAACCAAATCTTTCACTGTATGCGAAAATACTGTTTTACTGTCATGATGAAATACTAAAAACTTTTTGTATCATAATCGGAATCATTTTCGCAAAAGAGATCCAATCTTAATTAAAGGGACCAGCGTACCAAACGATAAAAAATAACCATTTTTAGTCCAATTGGATCAAAATGGCAACCGTGATGCCTGTGGATGTTCTAATTTTGACAGCGCGAATTTCGGCGTGGGTACTTCGCCGTTCGCTAGCATAGTGTTTCCACCTTAAGAAAAAAAAAACAATTTTTTACGTAAACATGGTATTACACAGGCCAACAAAAATGGAAAAAATGGTGCGGCAAATGTTAAAACTGCTTTTGGTAGACTTTTGCAATATTTTAGAATCAATGCAATATTTTAGAAGCTCTAGCATAGAGACAAAACGTGATAGAATCCACTTAAGCTTAAATTAAAGCCAGAACTCCGCCGCCAAGGTAGGGTATAACAAGGTGTTCCAGTTGGTCGGCAGTCCTGTATAAACACTCAACGATCCATGTCCTAGCTCACAGTCAGCGTAAGGAGAATACTCACCCCACTTCAAAGGAAAGGTAGTCGCCGACGAATTGGCGAGGGAAAACTAATCGTCAGTAATCTTTGGGCCGAAACCATTTAGCGGTCTCAGTTGTCCTCCTTCGAAACTTGTAATTTCCGAATAGGTAAACTCAGAGCGCAGTCAGTACTGGAGAGCAGTAGGGGCCTTATGCATACAAGCCCCTTTTCATATCCTTTCGTTATGAGGGACATACAAACGTACATATTTTGAATAGAGCCAACAAGAGGTGACTCACGGTTACCTAACCGATGATTATCAACCACGCTCCCGCAACGGGTTTTGTTAGATACCCATATCATAGAAATACAAACTATTTTCGATGTCTTTAGGTTTTTCTGAGGTGGTTGTCTATAGTAAAAAGTGTGAAAGCGCTTTAAAATTAGAAATACGGCTTTTGTTAATATTGAAATCTTTGAGGAATATCTGAGAGCCATTTTTACATTGGTAGACCTCTTAATTTGTACATTGAAAATCTATAGTTAACTTCCGAGAGTTAAGATTTCGGCATTGTCTAGGCTTAATAGACGGCGACTGTGGCTGAGTGGTTAGAGGTGTGCGCTAACAATCCGCAAGCACTGGGCTCAATCCGTGGTCTGAGTAATGTACGGGGGCAATTTAAAAAGTCAGTGACTCCCGAGCAGTAACTTTAAATGCAACACTGCTCATGTCAACTGCCGGGGCTGGATTCTGTAAATGTGAGAAAATGCAGTGTACACCGAGTGCGAAACTCAAAACCAAAAACTCACCGAATAAATTTTCAGTGTACACTTGCAAACTCACAGTTACATCATCCTGCCCCTAGAAAATATTGAGGAAGTTGTGTTTGATATGGAAAAAAACTGAATTTCGTGTGGTGATTAAGCATTAGTTTTGAGTAATAAATCCACTACAAAAACCAAGGTAAGGCTTGATAAATATATGAGGATTCTGCGCCATCAATTTCAATGGTTAAAAAATGGTTTACTGAGTTCCGTTGTGGTCGCACCAGAACAAGAGCTCGCCACACCAGAAATCGTCGGCAAAATCCATGGAATGATATTGGACCATCGGGGGAATGAAAGTGCATGAGTTGGCTGAGGCTGCAGGCGAGTGGGTGCAACACATTTTACATTCATATTTAGACATGAAAAAGATATCTGCACGATGGATGTCTTTTCATTTTGAGCATTATATGTTTATATTTGTATCGATCCCTTTGGGCTGTTACAAACAACCGATATGCGAACAAATTTATAATAGGTACCCTTGTGCACAAATGCGCTCGCATATAAAAATGACGGAACTTACCGCCACTGATCGATCGGCACTGCCCTCCCGTTTCTTTCGTTGTTGGATATTTTTTTCGTCTACATCATCTAAAGGTTTGCTCGTAGAACTCTGCACTTTGCTAGATGGGGTTTCAATTTTCACTGCATTTTCTTCGTTCTTTATGGTGCCTTTGCTACCCTCGTGCTCATGTTCATGCTCAGATTTTGTATGCCCATTGGAAATGTCTCCAAAGTTCGATGTCGAGTTTTCGCTTGATGTCTGCATTGAAAAATAAGACGAGGGTTGGAAGAAACAACAAAATTAAATATAATTTACAGAATACATTTTGCATTAATTTTAGTTGTTATTTTATTTTTTTTAACATAAACAGGCTTAACTCTGCGAGCATGCCATGGGCATTAGTGAAAAGGTTTAGAGAATGTTAGTGAAAAAAAATGTATAGCCTTGAAAAACTACATGCGGATTGCTCACTATTTTTTAAATTTTTGTAAGATAAATCAAAAAGTGGTAAATAAGTAAAAATTACTAGGGACACTCACACACACAAATTTTGTAGTTAGTATTAAGTAAGTAAGAAGAAAATTAAAAACATTTAATCAAGTCAAATTTTGAATTTAACAAAAAAAAAGCACAAATAAAAATTTAGATCACGTAGGCACTTGTACGCTTACGATCGTAAGATTTCAGTACGAATTCGAGCGAAAAACGACAGTGAAATATACATACATATGTATACCTATAAGTGCATATGTGGGCATGGCTAACCTTAGGTGTATCGGAAGTCGCTTTGTTCTCTCGTAATTTTATTTGCTCATCAGCAGCATCAATTAGACCTTGAATGGCTGTCACAACTACTCGTTTCGTTTCGGTTTCGATTTCGATTTCGATTTGGTTCGGTTTAATTCGATTTTTAGATTTTTTTTTTCAAATTTCAGTTTTTGGTTTATAATTTTAATAGGGGTTCGTTCGTACACGCACACAATATGGAATAAATAATGGAGAAGAATGTTATACGAATATTTAAACTGTTTTTTGTTTTTTTTTTTTTTTTCTTTTCAGAAGAGAACTGTACTTATATTATTTATGCTAATAGTAATATTTATGTATAAAAGTTGCAATATTTAAATGGTTTATGGTGAGAAGCGATGATACTTTGTTCGCAAATGCGCTAACATACCAAAAAATAGAGATAGTAATATCAAATAGATTATAGGAGAATTTCGAAAACAAATTAGACTCAAATGCAGAAATCATTTAAAATATGTCCTCTTCTTGATTTTTTGTAGCTTTATTTTTTTAACTGCAGTAAACTACGAAATTAGATATTTTTGTGTACTTCATTACATTAAGTGATTATTAAGTATATGTATTGTTTAGAAAATTACAAGTTAGTAGTTATATTTGAAACATGCATTTGCAAAACTTATTTGTGTGATTCATGCCTTCGTGTTACGTGGAAATTTGGAAATAGGCGGCGAAAGTAATAACTTTACGGAATAAGACGAAGCGAGACGAAAAATGACGAGATGGGATCAGTCGTAGCGAAAGGATTTGCAAAGTTAAAAGAACCCGAACTGTGAGAGAAGAGAATTCACAAGGTAAATGTGTAAATGCAAAAATCGACTAAAATCAGTCATCAAATCAATATAATTCATGCCATTTCTAGTGACTGATAGCGTTGCAGCGTGGTTGCTTATACATTTGTGGGGAACTTTTGGGGCATATGGCATATATATTTTTGGAGGATTTATGCATTAAGATTAAAATAAGACTTCTATATATACTTAGTTTGGTGAAGTGACTTGAAGGCGCTAGAGTTGAGACTTAGTTTAAGACGATTTTTGTATGTTTTAATTTTTTGTTGTGAACGGTCTAATGTGCTTTTCGCTTTATAAATTGTATGGCGATCATCTTGTAACGAACGTAAATACCAATAATAACGGTGATAATAAAAAAAGATACAACATTTTAAATTAAATTTGCAGTTTGTAACAAAAGTCTGGTAAATCAAATAAAAAAAGGATTTTACACGAATTTTATGAGTGCAGCTAACTACAAATTATTGTTTAAAATAAAATAATTTTGATATTTACAGCCAGAATTTTTTTTGTTCTTTTTTTATATTTGTATGTATTTGTGGAGATATTTGTAAATTTTGCAAAAGTAAAATAATTGCTCAAGTCGCTTTTTTTACTCCTTAATACTTGGAATTTAAATATGGTCAATCTAGTTGGCTGCTTATATAAATATACATACCTCAATTTTCTTGTTTTCCTTTTAATTTAAAACTAAACAATTCTAATCTAAGCTTGCCAAGTTCAAAATTGGAACTGTTGCCACAGCTCAAAATTTACTTAGTTTGGGCTTTTGTTTACAGTCTAAGATCCGACAAAGGCGCGCGCCCTTCACCCATCTGTTTAATGGATGAAATCGTTTTTATATGAAATTTAACGTGTTAATAAATATTTTGCGAGTGGGTTGGCTAAAATAAATCCTGGCCAGGATATTTTTAATTAAATATTCCAATTTTTTTTTTATTCTTTAATTTTGTACTCATTTGTTTATTGAAAAATTTGTATACCAATTGAAAGTATTAAGCCTATAAAATTATATTTCCTGATTTCAACTCCTCGTTTGTTGAAACCCTTTTAACACCCATTGGTACCTTCAGGGAATTGTAAAGGTGGTAATATGAAGACGCCAGTTCAAGAGAATGCGTGTGTGATTCAAAAAGTCTCATCAATATGACTCCAGGAGTTGCTTCGTGGCATTGGCCGCGTAAATTCTGGCACTCTCCTGCAGCAGATGGACGCTCTCTGTCAATATGCCACAATCTCCATCATCATAATTAAAGAACAAAAATGGAATTATTCCATTCACAACGAGATTGCGGATGACTGCGCGGATTTCTTACTTGGCGGGAGATCGGGTCGACACTTTTCGCGAGTCACGCCCACACAGAAGTGTACATATCGACAAAAAATTCCCTACCGCCAATTGGAGCCACTAGTTTTAGAACTTGTGATGTAGTAAATTAAAGACAAAATTTTGTAAAATTTTAAAATGTAGTTTTTTGGGTCGCAAGGACGAATAGGTATGGAAAATGCCCTTTTAATAATTTTTTATTTGCCAAATTAATTTATTAGAAATTAGAGGCTGTGTTGGTGCATACATACAATATTAACCTTAAAACAACGGCGCACAACGTAGGGCTTTTCCAGCCTACGTGCTCCGTGCTCTGCGCGGGGCAGCCACTCTAACCTTAAGATATATTTATACCCGAGCACACTTGTGCACAAAAGTATTATAACTTTGTTCACATAACGGTTGTTTGTAACAGACAAAGAAAGAATCGAGATAGATATAGACAAATGTATGCATAAATGATCAGAATGACAAAAGAAATCGATTAAGCGGTGACTGTCAGTCCGTCCCCCCGTCTGTGCACACGATAACTCGAGTAAAAATTGAGATATCTTAACGAAACTTGGTACTTCTTCTCAGCGTAGGACGGATGGTATTGAAAATGGGCAAAAGCGGAGAAACACCAAATCTTCGTTTTCACTTTTATTTGGTATCCATATTGTTCTGCTTGGACAAAGATTTTAAAAATATTAAAAAAAAAAAATTGACGTCAGGGAGGGAAATTTAAAATGCAGTTCTACTATTTATTTGGGCCCTAGAAATTTTTTGGTTTTTGTAGCACGGTGTAGTAAGTAAAGTTACAAAATTTTCTGCTAACCTCGCTTTATGAGGTTTTTTCTTTTACTTTTTGTTGGGGAAGTCCAGTCGTGGACGCGTTTAAGCTAGCTATCTAATTTTAGTTGAGTGAAAACAAAAGACTTAAGCAACGAACCGGATTTTAAGACAATTGTTAAAATTGAAAGTACAATAAATTTTCAGTATTTTTATTAAAAAAAAAACAAGGTTGCTTTATGTGTAATCTTAAAATTCGGGCCTAAATACTACTACATTTTTATTTATATTTTCTTCCGACTCAACTTCAGCAATTATTTTACCTTTCTTCAACTTTCTTGAACTAAAAAGTCGTATGTACTTATACTGCCTAATAATTTCATGTATAAATTGTATGTACGCTAAACATGTGGAGAACTCTTAATGTATGAAAGTTAACTTTTTTGATTCTATATTTTTTAAATTAATTTGGGTGCGTCTATCTAACCTTAGCTTCATATTGGTCTGAGTTCATTTCAGCAATTAGTTTAGCCATCGCCTTTTCGGTATCCTCAAGCTTTTTGCGCAACTTCTCAATTTCCATTAATTGTTCGGTTTCCTTGTTGAATCCGGCCGCCAAGATACCACCGCCATAAACACCAACACCACTACCGCAAGTGGCTGGAGTACCATGACTGTGTTGTTTCAGTTGCGATGAGAGAATAGAAGCTGCGGTGGCAGTTGCCAAACTGGCATTGTAAAGTTCGCTGCCATTTCCAGCACCACCACCGCCGCCGCCAACGCCACCACCACTGCTGATGTGTTCGCGCAGTCTCGGGCCTAGAATGTTATTGGTTTTGGTATTTGGTTTCAGTTGGATAATACACAACAACACAATAAGAGAACAACAACACTATAGATTTTAGTAATCGCTTCTTCATCAAGTTTTTGTTAATTTGTAAAATGAAAAATATGCACATTAATGTATAAAACCATACATACATACATGTATATATGTACATGAGGGTGGTCCTTAAATATAGGAAGCAAATTTTTACATCAGATTTCCTAAGCCTTAACCGCGTGGAGTGGCGCACAGGGGCCAAAGTTCAGATTATCCTATGAAGACGTCGGGACCAAAATTTATATGTGATATCTTCAACTTTGGTAGTGTCGATTTTGGGTATTAAATGATTTTTTTTTAACCTTTAGAGTCTCCATAGAGGCATCTGGCCTTTGACCCCTTTGCGACACGCCTTAATCGACTCCAATCGGGACCAAAAGTTAAAATCTTCGACTATAGTTTTGTCGATTTTGGGTACTAAATAGATAAAAAAAATTATTTTAATTTTTTGAGTCTCTATAGAGGAATCTGAACTTTGGCCACGTCTTAACCGTCTCCAATCAGGATCAAAAATTTATATGTGATACCTGTGGCTGTGATATTACCTATTGAGCGGGTGAGACGGAACAAAATCGTTAATTTGATTTTTTTAAAGACCACCCTAATATACATATGTATATGCAAGCATACAAAAAATGTGTTAAAATAATATACAAGAGTATTAAACACGAAAATAAGGATATACATCCTTTTTATGCATGTATACGTAAAAGATGTAAGAACAGTGCCGACAACTTGATTAGCGCACCTTTTCCATCCTCAATACTGACAGTTTTCCTTTTGTTGTTTTTTTTAATATTCACTAATTTTTTATAAAAATATGGCATATTCATTAACAAAAACCATGTAAATCAGATTTTAAAACATAATAATAATAATATTATTATTAAAATGGCTTGGTCGGGTTCGAACCCATCTCCTGCGGAATGGTAGCGCGCACTGCTAACCACTACACTACAGCGGTCGCTAAACATAATACAAGATTAATAATAATTTAACAAATTTTCATCATAATTTCAAACTTTTTAGAATTTCTTAAGTATGCAGTTTCGTTGCCTATCAAATTCGTATAAGCCTTAAAAAAAGCGTAATTTTTTTAAACATTTTTTTGTTGAAGGTGTTACGCATCTTCTTCCATACAAAGTATGTTTGCCAATTTTTTTATATGGCAAGAAAAATATATCAAAAATCAACACAAATTTTTAGAAACTTGAGGCTTCTTATACTAAAATTTAAGGGGCTAGAGGAGTTTGAAATTTTTTGGATTATAATGGGTTTTGTATAAAGCTCGGATATACAAACAAACATGACTTTGAACAAAAGGAAAACTATCAATAAGGAGGATAAAAAGGGCGTGCCAATCAAGTGGCCATCACTGTGTACGAATATATGGCAAAATAAAGGATTTTTTTTATTATTATTATTATAGGTGACGTATGCTGGTAATAAGTGTATTTGTGTGCAAATATGTACTTATGTATATTTATTACTTCACAACAACAATAGTTACTGTTAAGAGTAGGTTTAAAATGCAGTTGATAAACATGTATGGAACAAATTAAAATATTTATGTAATATTCTGTTGGTCCAAAATTACCAATTAGACTATTTGTAGAAATGGAAAATTTCCTTAGGGTTCTTTAGTTTTATAAAAATGTAATATGAGAAAAATTAAATAAAATTCAAATGATCACCAAACTCTGTTCTTATATATATGCAGTCAAAAAAGTAGGACATATTTTAAAATGACTATAACAAAAAATTGTAGCAAAAATATTATGTAGCTTCAAGTGATGTATATTTGTATTATGTGTGTTTGCTAGGAGATTTAACTGTACTTATGTTTAGTTTCGGAACCCTTCAAAAGCACTTGTTCACTTTATGAAATAAAAAACGTCTGCTTACTTGCTTGATGTTCTCTCCACCCTGAATTTTCAGTGTGCATGAGAAGAAAATGAAAGAAAATACGGATACAAAATGTCTTAAGTTTGTGTTCGAAATGAATGTCGGACAACTTAGTTAATGATAGGACCAGTTACAATAGTTCGAAGTAGTAACTGTGAATCAATTATCTGAGCGCAAAAAAACAAAAACGATTTCGCAGATCTGTGGGTATCCACAATTAAATGGCATTTTAAACTTCAGAAACAACAAAACTTAAAACTCGAAATTATTTTTCATAGGAATTATGCCAGTTCATTAAAAGTTTGGAGGCTTTTTCAGTTTACGTAAATTCAATTAATGTAATATAGAAAAATATGAGTTATAAAAAAACATTGCATCTATGGCTAGTTTCAAGATGAAGGGATGTGACGGAAAAAATTTCTTTGATTTTTTTATGAAAAAATTCTTATTTACCTAAGTACTATTACGATTATTTTCTATTAAGTTAAGAATCCGGCTCTGAGAAAATCTCAAGAAATATTTTTCATTGCAGTAAATTTTCTTGAGAGCTGCAAACTAATTTAATAGATTTAGGTAGAAGAAAATTACGCTCTCCTGTTTTACACGTTATTTTTTGTATGCTTTTTTTTTTTTGAAAGCTGGACACTATGCTGAAAGTCGGAAAGAACACTGCTTGTCTAATTTTTCAATCTTTAAAATTTGTCAAATACGTATTTTGAATAATTAAAAAGAATATTTGTTGATTTCATATGGCAAAGCGACATAAGAACCACCATGGCCGAACTAAAGCTCGTCATTCCGTAGATTCCGAGTTCGAAGGCAGCTCAACCCAGTTTTTATTTTTAATTCTTTTTAAGTTAAGTAATCTAATAAATAGTAAGCCGATTTTTTATTTGTTTCATTATTAAAATTATCTCTCTAATATAGGAGTTATGTCTTCTTGAAGATAAACCATAAAGATGAGATGCTTTTTGTTTTTAAATATTCATATAGTATCACTTGACCCTAGCTCTAATTGTTATTATTTTGGTTGTGTATTTTCCGTGCTTAAATAATATCATTTTTTTTTTTTTGTATTTCGTTCAGTTCAATAAACCCAAGCACCTATGTATGCATTTTAAAATAGCTAATTATGAATAATACAATGTATGACTTACCTAACTTAGAGCCATTGAGTTCCTCAACATGTCTGCCATTTTCTTGACCAAACACTTCCTTTCTGAAATTGGGATCACTTGGTGTAGGTCCATAAGGCGCATTCGGTACAGGCTTTTTGAAAACTATCTGTAAAATTAAAATATACAATTTATTTTTAATGAAATTACGTGTATTCTTACATAAATGGCTTTGTGACAAGGAATTGGGTGACTCAGTGAATTTTCGCGAATTGACTCAATGGGCCTCATGCATAAAAAGTGAATTTAAGCTCCAACTCGATTTTCAGTACAAATTCTTGAGCTTGAGCTCACCCCTTCAGTGCAAAAATTGAGTCTGAGCTTAGACTCATTTTTTATGCATGAGGCCCAATGACTCAAGCTCTCAATGCTGCCGTATAGAGCTGATGAGCGACTTTCATCGCTCGGCAGAACGATTGCAAAATAGTGCGCTATTAGGTATGTACATATACATATATGTACTTAGTAGATATCAATGCTAGTCACTGTTGTAGCAGAAAAGTTACATGGGGTACTTGAACGAATTGCAAATTTTGACAGCGAAACATTTAGTAAAGTTGCATTCATGTTTGCTTGCTTCGCTTAAGTACCTGGCGAACATATATATAGCTGAACTGAAGTGTAGTGAGTGGCCTTATTCATGAAAAATTGAGTAGAGCTAAAGGACTTTATAAAGTTACATTTTCATACAAATTTTCGATTTATAAAGTCTACTCAACTTTTTATGAATTTGGGTGTAATTATTGAGCTACGGATTCACTTTGCTTTTCAAAATATGTGTTTTAGCGTGTGTTGCACTTCGCTCAGAGCTGAGTTACCCAGTACTACTTAATAAGATTCGTTTCATTCTTCAGGTTTCGTAACAGCAAGTACTTAGTACGAATTAAAGCATTATATAATAGGGGTAATAGATTGACTTTTTTAATGCATATCAAACCAAGTATATATTGAGGTTTGACAGCTTCCAAAGCGACCTAGACCATATGCACTAGATTGTGATTCTTATTAGTTTTCATGAATTGGATATTAAACTACATAAGAAAATAAAAATAATTGGCTGTTCTTAATGCAATCGGAGAGTTTCGGTACTGGATCATTAATTTTACATCATGGTGATTATTACCTTCATAATAGTGTATCCAAAGAAGACAACGATGCCAATGGTATAAAGGGGCATTAAAAAGCCCACACTACCCCCACCGCGAGGCTGAGGTTGATGCATAGAGCCGGCACCCATGGGTGGACGCATGCCGGGTATAGGTCCAGGCTGTCGAAGAAAGAAATTAATATATTTTGGTGTTAATTTAGTAGATTATTAATAAAAGTAGAGAATATACATAAGTATAAATACAGATTATAGAAATGCAAAGAAATATCTTTTAAGAAATGTATGAATTCAATGTGATCATTTACACATGTATGTGCATTAGGGTGGTCCAAAAATGCATGTCCAAAAACTATAAAGTTCGGAAATTTAATGTTCTCAGGACTGTTCTATACCGAAAAAATATACCATGAATTTACAATACGCCAAATATTGGCGTTCTGCCTTCTAGGAATTAGATAAAGGTCAAAACGAAGTACATATCTAATGCCGTCAGACAAACAGTCAAAGCATAAGCGTCTCGATACCCACGCGACTGTTGACAGTTACAAGTTTGCAAAAGTAGAGGACTTCGTTTATTTAGGAACGAGCATTAACACCAATAATAATGTCAGCATCGAAATCCAACGCAGAATCACTCTTGCCAACAAATGCTACTTTGGACCAGTGATGCCAGATTGTGGGTAATTTCCCTATTTTAGAGATATTTTGTAACAAACATTTTTAAAAGGAAAAAAGGGACATTTTAAATAAAAGAGGGATTTTCATTTAACACAATTAGCGATGCATAATTGATCAAAATTCAAAAATATTCGAAACTTACGAAATTAATCGTTCTGAATATATGATGTGGGGTAAAATTGTGTATAAGTAATAAATAAGGACAAATTTGAAAATTTTCCCACGTTAACCAATTTAGGCGCTGAGTAAGAAAGAATATTTTTAAGTTCTTTGGGAATTTTGTGGGATAAATTTTTAAGATTGAGGGATTTTTTCCCAATTGTCATTGGTAATTTAGCAATGAAAGTCTGGCATCACTGCTTTAACTGTCGTACAAAAATCACACTTTATAAATCACTCATCATGCCCGCGCTGGTATATGGAGAGAAAGATTTACGGGATTTTGTGCGTTGGCGAAGGCAAATAGACGATTTAGGGATGAGATGTATGAGCTTTACAACTATATAGACATAGTCCGGAAAATTAAAATACAGCGGCTACGCAGGCTTGGTCAAGTCGTATGAATGGGGAGAAAGGCTCCAGCTCTGAAAGTATTCAACGCGGGTCGCGATGCTGGTAACAAAGGAAGAGGAAGGCTCCTTTGCGTTGGAAAGACCATGTGGAGAAGGACTTGGCTTCACTTGATATTTCCAATTGGCGTCAGTTGGCACAGAGGAGAAACGACTGGCGCGCTCTATTGGACTCGACCAAAATAAGATAAAATTTAAAATATTTCTCAAAACTAAGCCACGTCAAATTTTAGTTTCACATAAAAAATTACGACAATTTTGTTATCTTTATATATATTTTTGGTATGAAAATTTGTATGGACATGTAATTCAAAAGCAATTATATTTTCAAAACAAATGAAAATTGCATCGCTAACGGCCAAGTGACTATGCATACATATGTACACACATAGATACTTAAGTACACTTAGGTATCTTTTTACGCGTTTTTTCATGCGGATTTGAATTTATGCGGTTTTTTTCAAACCATTTTTTCGCTTCAGCGATTTTGCTTTTTTGACAGTTCTTATTACTTTTTTTAATGTGTAAGAGACAAATAATAAAATAAATAAATAATAAATAATTTTTCTTTGTATTCTTACATAACTCATGTATTTATTGGGTATTTTTTTTTTGTTTTTGGTTAAAAGACAAAATTTTATTCATTTCATTAATGTTCAGTTTTACATGGAATTATAAGTGTTGAAGTGAAGAAATAAATAGTTTTTTTTGCTTAATATTGCCTCGCTGGATATTTTTATGCGGTTTTTTAGAATTTTGTATATGGGATATCTGAATTTATGCGGTTTTTGAAAATGCTGGAACGCATCCCCTGTTTTTGTATGGAAGTAACGAACTTTTTTATGGGGATTTTTTTATGCGGCTTTCTGAGGATCGCATGTACCGCATAAAAAAAGACCTAAGTGTACATATGTATTTATGTATGCACATACTGCTATATGCAAGCAGTCATAATTAATTAAGAGCTGTCTGCGTGATTGCAGCGAAAATAAAAGAAAAACGAAGTGATCTTGAAAGAGAAAGGCGAAAGTTAGATTATAAACAATACCGACTAATTTTGTAAGTGCAGATGTGTGCTTTAAAAATACAAAACTTTACAGATATTTAGCGATTTGGAAAAAAGAGCGTGAGAATTTTTTGACCGTGAAATATCGAGCGGGCAAATATGCGTGAGTGTTTCCACACATATGTACATACGTATGTATGTATGTAAATAAATGCGTACATACATACATACATAAATGTATACCTAGGTGTTACAGCACAACAAACAACAATTCTAAATTTTGAACCATGCATAAGAGTGGGTGGCAAATTTGTATATTTATTTAGAAAATATTAAAAATAAATCGAATGTAGCGAAAATCCATCTGTAGGCGAGTGGATTTTTCGACCGGCACTAAGTAAACTTTGTGCATGCAAATTGTAGAAACTCACAAGATCACGAGAAAATTAAAAATGGATTGTTTATTTTCTCTTGTAATGCTTACATGTCCATAAACTAAACATGAATACATACGTACAAACACTCTCATGCACTTGAATGCGGACAATGCTGTTTCGCTCTTTTTATGCGTTATTTTTCTGTTTTGAAAGTTCTATTATTTCTAAGTAAAAATACAGTTGATTCTCAAAAAAATTCTCAAACAAAAACTTTGTACAAAATTAAGAAAAACTCATCAAATTTATTCCAAGAGTTTTTAGAGTTTTACCGATGAAATTACGGTTGACAATGAGTGGTCTGACATCCACTATAATGGCACTTTGCAATAACCCCGGTTAGATCAATTAGCAAATATGCCTCCGAAAGACATGAAAGATATGCCGTCTAAACCGAACCTAGCCCGGCCTATATGTAGGTATTGGATTTGAGTGATAATCTTTGCTTTCTCGAAGAAGCTAAAACACCATATTCTCGAAGCAAAGTTACATTAAAGGCGTTATACTCGCATTGATGTATCCCTCATCTGAAAAAATTTTTTAAAGTGCCGTATTGAAGTTTTTTCAAAAATTCTGCCGAAATGTTAAAAACAATTGCATTTTTGGTAATTCAGCTTACACAATCTAGCAGCATTTACTCTGACAACCTAGCTGCGATTATTTAGATAACTACCATGCAACAGCACCTTCTCAAAAATGGCAATCGAATGTAGAAAAGAAAGAGTCTTACTTAGCCATGAAAATATTCGTCAACGTAGTATGGGTTTCCGAATATAATGGCATATTCGGAATCTGCGAGTCAGAGGAGCTCGCAACCCCACAAAACCACCGAATCAGACCGACGCATCGAGCAACGTCTGGCCACCTCACTGATCTGGTAGGATAATGGGCCTCATGCATAAAAAGTGAGCTTAAGCTCCGACTCGATTTTCAGTACAAATTCTTGAGCTTGAGCTCACCCTTTCAGTGCAAAAATTGAGTCTGAGCTTAAGCTCACTTTTTATGCATAAGGCCCAATGTCTCAACGGTGATAGCATAATTGGTTAAGTGCCAACGACCAATGGGGCTAAAACTGACCAAATATTTTTCTGAAATAGCAAAAGATCATAAGATCACAGGCATCAAAGACGAAAGAAATAAAACCAATAACTTGAAGTGTACAATGGCTTCGGAAGAATGTGACGTTTGTTAGGAAGGTGAGCACTGAACGTTATGGCAATGCACTCAAAAATGGTGAGATAATGTCTGACCTGCCTCTAAACCCCTCTCGAGCTTACCTCAGCACTCTCTATTAGTCTGACCAGCCTTTGCGAGTCTAAGGTTGACAAATTTTGGCTCGCATTTCCTGACTAATCCTGAGAAGCTCTCGGATATTGATACTAGCCGCATTCGTAATTTCGTTGTCGGCTCGTGGCTTTTCGTCGATCATGTATGTATGTAATGGTCTCTGTTCAAAATTTATGTGGCAAAAGACATCTCTTAAATGAAACTTAACTTACTTACTCTGTTTCTGAATTAGTTAATAGAATTTCTTTAAGTTTTCCCGTTTCAGAGCAACAAAAAAAGTCTAAACTTAATCATTTTTTCTGTAGTTTTGGGACCTTTTTCTATGAAACCATAGAGCCTTGGAAAAAACTGATATTTTCATTTAAGGCAATGTTACTTCATTCTTCGAGACTAGTTTACAGGTATCTCCGAAACTGGAAGGTCTAGATAAATTTTGTAAACAAATTTAGAATCAGCGTCAGAAAGGCAGTGTCGGAGTTTTTCGGCCTTAACAATTAAAAAAAAAAAATTTTCCATAAAATTTTATTTTTTGTTGGATACATCCAAATTGTGGTAAGGACTACCGACCTTTGAACTTCGAAAGAACATTATATGTATATGTACTTATATTAAGGTAACTATATGAATGTTACTTCTTTACTACTGAAATATACATATGTCTTGAATTCTTTGGGAATTTTGTGGGATAAATTTTTTAAGATGTGGTTAAATGAGGGATTTTTCCCCAATTTTCGTGGGTAATTTAACAATGAATCTCCGGCGTCACAGCTTTGGACTAACCAGGGAGTTGAGAAGTAAATTTCTCTCTCGTCGTATAAAAATCACACTCTATAAGTCACTCATCATGCGAGAGAAAGATTAGAATCAGTGTGAGAAAGGCAGTGTCGGAATTTTTTCGACATTAGTAATTAAAAAAACCCTTTCCCATAAAATTTTATTTTTTGTTGGATACATGAAAATTTTGGCCTTACCACTCGATATGTAGTATGTATTCTTCCTAACGCATCTTATATGCAGATGTGTTTAGAAATAAAAATCCTCTTTACACTCGCCATCTCCCATTGCTCTCGAACAGTTTTTGGAAAATATGTACTTTCAATCTTCGCATACGACAATTTCAATATATGTACAGTTTATTTGGGCAACAACATTATTTTGGCAAATGTTCAACATCATTTTAAAATTCGTCTGAGAATTTACAGGTGAGTGAAATTTAGTACATTGATTTTACATTAAACATAATATTATTTGCACCACTGGTGCATAAATATTGTTCGTATAACGATTGTATAACGGTTATTTAAATAGAAAGAAAGTCAAAAAAGCTTAAATATAAATATTTATGTTGTGCAATAGTATTGTCCATCTACATACATACATATGTATGTGCATTTAGATATGGTTTCGAAAATTTACACGTGTAATTCGACTTACCCGCCCATTAACAATGCGTGGCGGTGGATTACTCGGCGATCCTTTGCGCTCTAAAATGGGTACTGTCGGCGTAGTTGCGGGTATCGCACGTCCGCGTTCACGCATCGCCTGATAAATAGATTCCGGATGTAAGTGTGCTGGACGTTCCTGTCGCAGACCTGGAGGATAATCTGTTATTGAAAGTAAAATGCCGAAATATATTTGTAAAGCCTGCAAAGCCTGTGTTAATGTTGTAAAATCAACAAAATGGCAGGATAATCGTAAATATTTTAAAATGTTAAACTAAAAGATACAAATTAGTAGATATTCATTCGAAGAGTAGTAACAAACAACTAATACCAAAACAAAATTATTTTTTACAGCAGGGTCAGGTAAATTAATAGGAAATGCACAATAATTTTAAGCAAAATAAATTTATGAATTTTACGTGATGCTCACAAACACCAATCATAAGAATAAAAGCTTAGTGAAACATTAACAGGGAAAGCGTTGCTGATTTTTAGCGCATACATAATCATAGTCTTAAATGTATTTCAAAGCCCACATTTCAGTATGTAAATACAGTTCAGGCGTGAATAAATTTGAATAAATTCTCTTAAGTGGTTACTGATTTACCGAAGATTTAGTTCTTCTTTAAATTACCGCTACATGGAAATTAGGGGTGATCTCAATGTAAATGTCAGCTTTGTGTGAATAAGCTTCAGTAGTTACTAAAAGATCGCAGTTTTCGTATTTCTGTAAAGTACCGTTATATGTACGGTGACCATCCGTACTGTATTATACGGGACAGTCCTCTTTTTTGACCCACTATCCTGGTAATTTATTTATTTTATACGGGACGCCAAATGTTCTGTATTTCTATTAATGCCCTCTATTTGTCCCGTATTCGGTGTTTCGACGCCTTAACAGCTCATTAAACTGGCATGCCTATGAACGAGTTTTAAGTGATGTTGGTATATGATCGTAATTTTCTCCATAAACACTTATTATTTTCTAATCTGTGTGCCTGTGATTCGAGTCGAGGAATACATACAGTGACCAAAATAGAAATTAGGACTCGACATTTTAGTAAGATTTGGCTATTTTTCCTTAGTTTATTTAATGTTTATTATTTATTTTATAAAACTAAAGCTCTTTTCGTAACAAAAACCACATAATACCAAACTTTGTGCAAAAAACTATAAAAATTAATTCTGAAAGTTTCACAAAAATTTCAAACTTTTTAATTAGAATCTTTAGAAAAAAACTTGGTTTGCTGCTCATTTGCTTCTCTTTCAAAAAAAAAAATGGTCGAACATACTTTGTATAAAAAATGCGTAACACCGTCAACAAAAAAATTGCCAAAAATTAATGGCAAGCCTTAGCGACTTAAAATTACACTTAATTATGCTAAAATGTAACAATTTTTTTTTTTTAAATTTCACGGGGTAAAAATCTCGAGAAAATTATCCTACAAATTTGTGATGTTACTAAATGGATACTGCTTCAGGGCTAATATGTCTAGGATCATTGAAGAAGGCTTTGAGATCTGTAAGCTGTTGTGGAAAAAATTTGCAAAATTATTTTTTGTCCCGTATTCGGCTCTCATAACTATGGTCACCGTAGTTATATGGGATGTAGGTGTGGTTAATAATGAAGGGTTCCTTAAAGGCATTTCGGTCAATTCATAGCAAGACCCCAAAAGATGGCTGGGTACATACGAAAGTATTAAGAATACATAAGCATAAAATTTCCAAATGCAATTCCAAATGCAAATCCAAGGCCATTTCCACTATATCCTTAACAACCCTAGTATACTTTATTATCAAAATCCAATCCTCATTTTAATAAAGCATCTGTTTGGGTTAATTGCAATATATTAGTCAGAGCTTTCTCCAGGTTCAGCAACTATTTTCGTGGTAAAACTAATGGCATGCCGTTTATGTATAGTAACTTAACAGTTATGGTGGATTTATATTTATGTTAGTGCATTGCAAGCATTTTTAAGTATTAACATACTTATCTCTCCGGTGTATAAATTCAGTTGCTTGCGATACAATTGCGGACCGATTTCTGTCGAAGTTTCATTTAAAAATTTCTCTCTGTCAATAACAACATCACAACAGCCTAAACATCAGTACGAATGGAATACGAACAGTGATGCACAACAGTTTACAACAGTTTGACAACAGATTTACGATTTTGTGTGTGTGTTTTTTTTTTTGCAATATAATAAAAAAATTAATAAAATAAGTAATTAAGAAAAACAACTTCTCAAAAATTTTATCTAAGTATGTTTTTGTAGTAATCATATGGCTTTTTTAAAAAAAATAATGTTTTTGTCAAAATTTTGTACAAAAAGTGTGTACCGGAAAAAACAAAATACATACGTAAAAGTGAAAGTGCATAACGTTCATTTCGTCACTGTCACCGTCCATCTCTGCGTCAACGGTGCTTATGCGCCAAGTTACACACTATCCGCTTGATCGAAAACTCGCTGCTGCTCTTTGCAAAAACTACGTCGTACTTGCACAAAACATAGAATCAGAGATGCATAACACACTATATGAATCGATTTCGTTTTGTTGATACGCATAAATAACTTATCAAAATAATTTTTTTTTTTGGTATACACTAAAGTTAACGTTACAATGCATCCTTGCATAGAATAATTGGCACTTGACGCACACGCATAAGCAAAGTGGAAAGTCTCCTTCAGCTTTGTTGATTCTACTTTTTTGACAACTGGCGATGACGCAATGGACGTTATGTACTCTCGCTACAAGTATATGAAAATTCCATGTCAACCGATTTTTTTTTTTTTTTATTCGATGGACTCCAAATTCGGTTGAAATGGAATTTTCCATATAAATACATACATATTTATGTATAATTTTGTACATACATATGTATTTTTTTTTGCACAGTAAACTTTATTTTTGTTCCTTTCTTGTAGCAAATTTTGATAAAAACATAATTCTTGTTGGTCTTCATTATTCACAATTTTTTAAAAGTCATATGCCTAATATACATATGTATGGTAACATTACTCACCTCCAGGGGCGCGTTGTTCGTTTAAATTGCCACTTTTTGCTGGCGCAACTCCACCGAACATCATCGGATAGAATACTTTTGGCCAAAGTATGGCAATGCAGCCCACAACTGTCACGATGATGACAGCTGTTTTCTTGGGACTGAGACCATTCTGCATTTGCAGGGGATAATTAGATGTCCGCGGCTGTGATCGCGTTTGTTGCATGTTTTTATCTTTTTTATTTTGATTTCTTTGTTTTTTTATTGAAAATTTCGTGAACTCCAAATCGTTTAAGATTAGTTTTTTTAGACACTATTTAAGTGATTATGTTTAACACTGGCAACGGTGCATATTGTTGATTTAAGATTACTTAATACATACATAAACTTAATGTTAATATTCGTTGAGGCAGCGGGGCCTGATTATAAGAAAAATGTCTGCGAATCTTTTTGAGTAATATTCAATTTTTTTTAATATTTTTTTATACGGTTTGTTGTTCTATTGTAATTAGTTATTTTTAGATTTACTTGATTAAATTTTATTTTTATTAATTTTTGTTTTTCAGTCACATTAGTCAATTAATAATTCCATATCTCATTTAAGCTTCGATAGTATTGTTTTTTGAGCCTTGTTAACAGCAGGAAATAATATTGCTGAACTGTTATTTAAGGTTTAGTTCGTCATTGTTATCTGCAAAAAAATTACATTTTTTTTAATATTGCTTTAAAGCAAATTTCTATGGTTCATAAGAAGGTGTTATTAAGCTCTGCAAATGCAGATAAGCATTCTTTCAACGCATGGTCATAGCTACCACATCTTAGTTGAGGCAACCACAATGCATTAATTTTTTTTTTGCTGAGCGTTTTGGTCCTTTTTTATATAAAAAGTCCAATTTATAAAAACTGTCATTGGTTGTTTGAAGTTCTTTTGCGAGCAGTCTTGTGCATTTTATGGCATAAGAAATTCATGTTTATATGGAAAATAGTGCAAAAATCCGCCAGCAAAAGAAAATTATTCAAAATCAGCGCGATTGTTTAGCCGCTTGCACTTTATTCTACTCGAATTTGTGAGCTATAAAACTGCATAAGACTGCAGTGTTAATTCACTTAAATTAACAAAAAAAAAAACATTTAACTTGAACAACATTCTGAACATTTTTAAAAGCTTCAACATGTGAACACTTGTTTGAGTCATTATTTTCTTAGATGAAGTTTTATTCAACCTTTTTTTATTTTATGTAACATTCGCTTGCATATGGGCTAGATTATTTTAACGATAAAATTTGGGGACCATTTTGATCATCACTGGTATGTAAATTTTAAAACAAATTTTCGCTTTATAATTACACTGGATCTCAAATTAAGTTTGGTTTTTGTTCTCCAGACGCCACTATGCAATTTTTATGTAAAATTGCTCGTTGATTCCGAAAATTTATTTTTTATTATTTTATTTTTTCTATGGATACGTTTTCGAGATATTTGCAATTTAATTTCAACTTAAAGCAAAAATATAAAATAAAAGCGAATGAAATTCTCCATAAACCATATATACGACACTTTCCGATAGGACTGATAGTTTCTGACAAATTAATTAATCATTCCAGCTTTTTTTATTTTTTAATAAAAAAATTAAAAAAAAATCAAACTTTTACAGAAGTAAAATTAAATAATAACAGGTTTTGTGCCAAATTTTTGCATTTGTACTAAAGCCTGTTCAGTTACAAAAAAAAATCTAGTTATTGATGAAGAAAACTCATTTCTTATTTATCCATCGATTTTCTTCTTTAGTAATTTGATTTTTTTTTTTTGTAACAGAACAGGCTTTAGTACAAATGCAAAAATTTGGCACAGAACAGTTTTTTTTTAATTTTTCTTCTGTTAAAGTTTGATTTTCTTTCATTTTTTCATAAAAAAATAAAAAAAGATGGAATGATTAATTAATTTGTCAGAAACTCTAAGCCCTATCGGAAAGTCATGTACATATATACCGTTTATGGAGAAGTTCATTAGCTTTTTAAAGTTTTAAATTGATTCGTAAGATATATGCGATTAAAAGGAACCAATTTTTGCTTTAAGCTGAATAACGGTAAATTGAAAATATCTCGAAAACGTATCCATATAAAAAAAAAAAAACTAATAGAGATTGGATAGTGGCATCCATAGAACATTTTTGGACTAAACTAATGTTATCTTTTAAAAGATTTCCCGAAGAAGTTCACTTCACTTTGACTTGTAGTTGTTTGTGACGCTTTTTTTGGAGTAAATTGTAAACCGAATATTTTTCTGAGACATACTAGCTCTGATCCAGTACTCCATGAACTTACAGGATTTTACACAAACTTGCAGGAAGTTACAGGAAAAATTATCCCGTACCCCAAAATCGTGAAAATGAGAGCGATTTTTGGAGAGTTGTGTAGAGAATGAAGTTGCAAGATTTTAACCGAACTTTTTCTTCTGGTAAAATCATGAGAAGTGTGTTGTTTTTGTTTTCATACTTTTTGTTGTTACTCAGGTTTTACTCTCACTTCAGAAAGTAATTTTGCTGTTTGATATTTTTACAGGATTTTCCACGAAGAGTATTGACTCAGAGCTAATATCTACATAGATATGTATTATAACTTTTCTCGGTTCTCATACTCGCCGATCTTTTCAGAATCCGACAAAAGAGCGAGACCAAAAAGCACAAAAATCATAATTGACATAATTTTAGGACAAGGCACTGATTGTCTGAGTGTTTAACACAATTTGTTCGAATTTTTGCATACCTACATACATATGTATGTACGTACATATATGAGTATATTTTGCACAAGATATATATTATTTATATATAAACATTTTCATATAGAATTCATAACTTGTACGTGTATGTGTGTGTGTGTGGTATGGATTGAAACGTTCCAATAACTATACTACATATTGAATATTATATGTAAGTCGGCAAACTGATGTGCACTGAATCTTTGTAGGTACGCCAAATAATACATCCAATAATTATCCTCTTCGGGAATATTTTTTTTTTTTTGAAACTACAAGCGGTTAGGACTTAAAAAAAGCCAGTATAGTATATTACAACTCCCGAGTGTGCACTCACATGCAGTAATATGTGCATACATATTTCGCGTTATTGCTCATTATGTTTCTTAATGTATATTTAATGACATATAAATTTCATTTATCAATTGCTTTTGATTAACAAAAATTTTTTAGTTTGTGGTGCACTCTTTTATGACAAAAGTATTGGCCATTTTGAAAACAATTTTAACACACTTGAAATTTTTAAAGTAACTACTATTTATTTAAAATCAGTTCACTTATTAAAATATTTATTTAATTTGCAAATGAAATAATTTTCACACGCTTTCGTCTATTATTACATAAAATTTTTGCGATCCGCACTGCGTTTTGTGACTAAATACACAACTTGCCCGTAATTATTTATTTTTAGCGCTCGCATCTTTAGCATTTCAGAAATTCAAAATTTTTAGCATTTGCTCCACGGCAACGGCAACGAGCCAAAAATAAAAAATAAAAAAATCGCACAATTTCATTCCAATGAGAAACTTTTGAAATTAGCGAAGAATTTAGATTTAACAAATTCTAAACAATTTGTATGCCACATTTCCAAATGTCCTATTATTTTTTATTTTGATTGTATTTTTTTGCAAATTTAACTCAATATTTTTGTAAACTTGGGGACCTTACGCAAAAGTCGATGGCCACGTTCGATCTGGTCAAGTTAAACTCGGAGACTAGTTGGCAATGTGTGACCACCAAGGAAAATGTTTGAAAAGAAAACATTGCCGCCACATACCGCCACACCGCTAACAAAGTCGCTTCTAACGCACATATGTACATATGTACATACAGTGGCTCAAACAAGTGCTCACAGGTTGATTTGTATTCTTAATGCTATTCGAGTTAATTTTTTTTTATAAAAATATTGTATATGTTTAACCAAAACCATATAAATCAAAGTTTCAAACCTTATAAAAAATTTAGAAAAATGCAACAAATTTTCACCAAAATTTTGAATCTATTTTAATAAATTTTTCAAAAACTCAGTTTAATAGCACTTAAAATTTTGATAAATAAAGTGCAAGTTTCAAGCGACTGAAAATTCGCTTTGAATTTTACACTTTTTTCTATACAAACAAGAATTTCTTATGGAAAATGCGCAAGATCATTGGCAACAAGTCAAAAAAAAAAAAACGAAACCAGTTTTTATAAATTGCACTTTGTATTAAAAAAAGGCAAAAACCGTCAGCAAAAAGAAATTATTAAAACCCAACGCGATTTTTTAGCCGCTAGAAACTTGCATTTTATCTAAATTTTATGGGCTATAAAACTGCATACCCTCGAAATTTTTCTAAAAATTCAGATTTAAAGGTTAAAAAATTGTATGAAAACCTTCTTGAGCTTTTCTAAAATTTGTATAAAGTCTGAAATTTGTATTTGTTTGGCTTTGGTTTAAGCATGAAATTTTTTTATAAATCAACATGTGATAGTGGTTATAGTGACTGTATGTCAGAACATATATACTACATAGTACATGCATATAATTTCCACCAGCCGCAATCCATCGTTTTCTTAGGCGCTATCGTCGTCATCGTCTGTCCATTTCTTTCTCATTTCGCTACGCTGATTTTGAGGAAAATTGTCGTTGCTTTTTGGCCGCTTGCCGCTGGTTCTCCGTACGATGTGCATTGTTCTTGTTGTAGTTGCAACTGTGGCACTATTCAACTCGTCATAAACACGACATACCAGTTTCTCTATATGCTTATGTATCAACTTATGTATGTACATATGTAGGTAAGTGCATACATATAAATTTTCCTCTCTGCCATTTTCCACCATTCACTGATTTTCATTTACAAAGTAATTTCTGCAATTACTCATCTCTTTCGTTCAAGATTTTTTAGATGATTTTTCACAAAAATTAAACAAAAAAAGTTATGATATACAAAAATGATAGACATCAATGAAAAACATCAGCGGGCGGACGATTTTTTGTTTATCCCGTAAATAAGACAGTGGATAATGAATGAGCAAATAGTGAGGAAAAAATGTTAAGTAAGCTTTTACAGGAAACACTTGGTTGTTTTTCTTTTGCCTATATCAGATTCGTAATACAATGGGGAAATTTTACTGTACACCAGAACCGTAACAAATGATGTACTGAGCCAACCGAGACAGTCGCCAAATCTCGAGGTCATCATAGCCAAAACTTAACAAGAAACGAACTGACAAAAAATCGCAGGATTTTAGTGGCGTCATCATAGGACACTGTGCTATTGCACCGATGCTCCGAATTGTCGGTGACCAACTTGTAATCCTAGACAATTTTACCGATAGGTACCAGTGTACTGCACAAGCCGATTCAAGCTACTTGAAAAAAATACAAGCGCGAGTATGATTCACACTTGTTTCACACAAGCCAATTCAACTCATAGCTTGAACGCAAATGAATACATTAGTAGCTTAAATCGAACAAGTTTGAATACAGTAGCAGCACCAGGGTTGCCACTGTGGTAAATTGTTACCAAAATTGGTAGAAAAAACTTGGTTTGGTAAAAAGGTAATTTTTTTTTTTTAATTTGGTAGATTTTTGTTGAACTTTTCGTTCCCGCTTTATTTTTCGTAGTTATCTTTATATTATAAATTTCTTTGCACACTTTTTATATATGTACTTACATATGTATAAATGTACATCGATATAATTTAAATGATTATTTAAATAAAAAAAAAACAATTGACAAGGATGCGATTACGCACTATGATTGTTCGCAAAAAAAAATTACGCCATTTTTTATCAATGGAAATTGTTAAATAAAAAACACCGAAGCCTGGATGCAAAAAATGAAAAAAAAAACAACTGGAATTTTTAGCAGCACATTGTTGGCTATACTCAGATGTTGTTTTGCTATAAAACTTCATACCTTAAATTGTTCTAAAAATTTAGACTACAAAATTTTATATTTATACGAAAATTTTTGGAATTTTTCCAAATGTTGTATATAGATTTAATCCTTGATTTTTATGGATTTAGTTAAAGCAACAAAAAAATTTTACTTGGAAAACATTGTGAATATTAAGAAAAAATCGCTAAGTGCTTTTTTGAGTCACTGTATTTGCCTATAATAACTCGAGTTGAAGTTGATGAAGTTTCGTTGTGCTTCTAGTTTCATCACTTTCGCTTTTCGTTGAAGGAAACTGAGAATATGTCATTAATATGATCTCAAATACCGTATAATTAGTTAAATAAAAAATTCCTTAAAAACATTTTTAATTCATATTGAAAAAATAACAAAACTATAGTTTTTATTAAAATAACTATAAACAAACCTACTTCCAGATTTGATAGATTTTTTTGAAGTGGATGGAAAGTATTTTTTTTTTTTCATCAGCGGCAACCCTGAGCAGAACTTATAAATACATATGTACGTACATATTGCAAACCGTAAATCAGCTTGTTACAACCAAAGGGTATTGTTATGTGTTAGTGTGTTTTTGTTTCGCTAATAAATAGTGAGTGCGATATGTTTGAAGTAAACAATTACGAGTATGACTTGAAATCCAACAAGCAAGCCAAGCATTTACTTGCTTGTTTCGAACCAAGCCCAGTGAATACAAGTAAGCTTTCAAGTAGCTTAAAATGTACATAAGTACCTTTCTGCAGTCTGGATAACCTCCCTATTTTTTGATGTAGCAGAGCTGAAGAGGTAATTTCCTTCAAGGGGCAAGAAATAGCGTTATTGATATAAAACTCTTTATCTGATTATCTGCCGCTAGTTAATTTTAGTTAATTTAGTGATCAAAGTATTCGCTGCTAAGCGTTCATTGTGGCAAGCACTGGCGTTACTCGCGCTGCTGTCAAAGCGACGGCAACGCCAAAGTTGTTTGTATGTGGACGGGCCTTTAGAGTTCTCAGAGAAAGTGTACTGACAAACAAAAAAATGATAGTCTACTGTTACAACTTCATGAGATTTCCACGCCTCAGAATTGTACATGAATACGTACATATTTAGGCGATTTTTTTTATAAGGATGTAGGTACTTACATATTCCTTTTGTAATTTTTGTCTACTCTTTGGTATTTCTACATACAAAATGTATTATTTTTGCGTGTATTTTAAGGATTACCGCTTTACCTTCACTTTATTTTATTTTTATTTGTTTCCCATGCCCATTACATTTATTTTGCTTGCTACTAAATCATCCACAGCCCTCTTGAATGTAAACATACTAACTTGTATTTACAGATGCATACATATGTATGTATATATGTTTATAAATATGCACTTATGTACATATTTATTTCCATATGTTATTTAGCATGTATTTATGTGCATGGTCTATGATTGGATACCGCCTTAAAATCCATTCTAAATTCTACATTTCAAATTCGACACGGTTAATGACTTTTCTTTAAACATTTCATTTTTACCAAAAATAGGGATGCCCTTGACTGTAAACACTTCTTTGAACACACAAACAAACATATGCACAAAGCGTGAACAGATGTATATAAATACATACTTGCTATTTATTTATAAACGAAGTGCGCTTCCTTATATACATATGTACATTCATATGAGCATGATGATGTTTCTTTGAATTTGAATGTTACATGAATTCACGGACATTTTCAAAGGTCAATATTTTTCGCCAGCATGTTTAAAAAACATTTCAGGAAAGATTATAAATGTTAATTTATTTATTTTTTTTTCGTTTTGCTTATGAACTGTTTTTCATTTTAAAACTACCCACTCAGTTAAACTGGAAAGCGGAAAACTTTGAAACGTTATCTGATGCTTACTTTTACTAACTTAATATTACTATAATGATTTTTTCTTGTACAGAAATAACGTAGACAAAGACTTTTCAACGCACGAGATTGCCGTTAGTACATCTACTGAGGTACGAAAAATCAATAGTAGCTTAAAAGCTCAAACAGTCAACGACGTAGCGTAAACGTACGTTGACGTGCGTAGCAGCATATCAAATTTACTGTTGATAGAGAGAGAAGCGATGGCAACTTCACCGACATGCGGTGCTGAGTTTTCGTTATGAGTTATTTTTTTCATGTTAGTAATATAAATATTTATATTAGAAATTCAACGTAAATCAAACCATAGTTGCTTTCCCTAACTAAGAAGAAGTTGCATGAATTTACAGGAATTTACCAGAAAGCGTACATGCAGGTTTTCGAAATAGATCGCCCCCACGCCACCTACCGGCTACGTTTTTTCTGGAGTTGTTTCCTTAGGTAATGTACTTTTCAAATATGAACCAAATCGGAAAATAAATACTGAATGTTGGATTGTAATCGGTGTTCTGAGTTTGAACTTCAAGTCTCTAGCTTATCGGGAAGTTGGTTAAAAATAGATTGCCAGATTTGACCCAAACAAACATACATACATAAATACATAGCAAGTTAAATAAAAGCTTATAAAAAGAACATAAAAACAGATTTTTTCACGTCTTTTTGTGGTTATTTCAAATGCAAGGAAACGTAACCAACTTTAATGCAATTGAAAATTGTTTTGGTTTCTCAAATTTGTTTTTATTAGATGCAAGTACATATCGTCACCTGAAATGCAAAAAGACGTAACAACATCGTAACTGAAATGTAGAAAGTCGTGACGAATAATTTATTTTTTTTTTCATTAAATGATGAGGGAATTGTAATTCGATCAGATATGATGGACATATCAATCAAAAAGTGAATATTGAATTTTTTTATTAGTTATGTCTTTTTGCATTTCAGCGACGATTTTTGTTACCTCTTTTTGCATTTCAGGTGACGATATGTATGTATGTGCTTGATTATATACATATTTTGGGACGAATTTCCGTTAAGCGGCATTTACATGAGGCGATTTTCTAAGCCATTCAACATCGCCTGTGAAATTGCCTGAGAAGTTGCTCATACACGTGCATTTACACAGGCGACAAAAGTTGAACGAGCTCAAATTTCAACGTTAACTTTTTAAAATTTCGATAAAATATTAAATATGAATTGAAGAAAATTTTTAAAACTTAGCATCAACATAATTGCTAAAGAAATTATAAAAAAAAATTAATTAACGAACTACGCAAGGAAATGGTAAAGAGGAAACGCAGAGTATGGGTAAGGAAATGTGTTCATCAGCGTGAATTGTTGGACACTTTCGATCATTTGTACAAGGAGCTTGCCTCAGACGACCCGAAAAACTTTCACTTTAAGAATGACCGTACAATTCAATTATCTTCTCAAAAAATTGCAGCTTTAATAAAAAAAAGCATACAAATATGCGTGCCGCGCTCTCACCAATAATTAAATTGCAAGTTACTTTAACGTTTTTGGCAAATGGTGATAATTACTCAACTATTTCGAGTACCAGAGAACACCATATCCCTATTTTTGAAGGATGTACTCGACGCTATATATGAGGTTTTGAACGAGTATATTCAAGTAGAATGTTTAGCGGTTTCAAAACGTTATATAATAAGACTTTTTTGCATTGAAGGTACCAGCATCAAAAGAACAATGGTCCAAAATTCAAAACGATTTTTCTGATATCTGGCAGTTTCCTCAGTGTTGTGGAGTCCGGATGGGAAGCGTGTCCTCATACAAAATCCACCCCGCGGAGCATCCGACATTTTTAATTATAAAGGCACATATAGTGTCGTTCTATTTGGAGTACATAGTTCACTAAGTATTTGTTGAATTAATACATAAACAATTATATCAGATACATAAAATAATAAGCATATGCATCTAATTGCTTAAGTGAATTTGTATTTTTTCGAATAAACGTTTTTAATAAACAAGAGTTAAGTTCATACAAAGCAGTGTTTTGAATTGAGCAAAATATTGAATTTAAAAGGTATTCATGTGGTACACAAATATGTACGTAAACTCGTTTAGTTTTTCAATTTAAAAGAAATACCCAGTACAAATCACAAAAAAACAACAAAAAACGGTTTGGTGAACAGCCAAGACATTTACTTCTCAAATAATTACGGTTTAAAACGATGTATACATTTTTAGTTTATCTTACAAAATTGCAGAGGTATATTACATAGGATACCAGAGCTTCCCAAACTTTTTTTTCTCGTAGACCCCTTTCAAAAATTTACTGGTTTCGGTTGACCCCCTGATGTTCAATTCTAACAAATTCCCAAAGCTCAACAAAAAATGTGAAGATTAAATATAACGATGTAATTTTGCATCGCGATTGAGTTCCAAAACTGAATTCGGAATGGCAAACATAAAAATAAGATACTTTCGTGTGTTCTATTTAATAAAATATGTGACATATGAAGGCATTGGTGTTATTGAAGAGATTAAAAATAATTAACTCAAATGAAGGATAACAAATATTTGAAAACAATTAAATAAATTAAAAAGAAATTAATCCGCATTATTTTTAATAATAGTGAAGCATATTTACTAAAGTTTTAATGTTTTCAGCTTATTTTCTTCGGTCCTGCTCATCACACATCACTTTAACTGAAACACCACTTTGTAGTTTTTCCAGAATACTAGTTAATCAAAAAATGCAAAAAGTTCAAATTTTGTGTGCATGACATGCATAAACAAAGAAAGTGGTAGGTATTGAGGTAAAATTGTTTTGAAGTTGCACTTATAAGGTTACAATGTTTTGTTTTAGTGACTTGCATTAATCAAGGTATTGCACGTATTGAGGGTTGCGGTTACCGTGTACGCACTGTATATATATTTCATCGGATAAACAGAAATTAAGTTACGAACAATTACGAAATTACGTTATGTCCAGATTGTGAGGGGGTATTCAACATTCTAAGTATGCATATTTTTTGTGCATCACTAGATCTATAACTTTATCAGTCACACAGTGTTGTTATCCCGATGCAATCCTTGGCGATGGTACCGGGTGGGGAACGGTACATGACGGTAGGAGGTTTAGTTTGGGTTAAAGTCTCACACTGACGGAGGTAGGCTTTCGATGCTTCCTTCTCGTAAAAAAACATATGCAGTAAAAAGTTAATTATTTAAATCGACGAATAGTTTTATATCGACCTTTGTGAACTTCAATTTATGTGTTTGTGTACAACATACCTCTATTGGTTACAATAATTTTAATAGTTTTTTAGTAATAATTATTGGTGTTGAAAAAAAAAACCATAGTCATAGTCAGGCGGAGGAACATCGACTCGGTCATCATCGACTGGGGGCTCGGGTTCTTCTTCTCGACAACTTTCCATACTGCTACCATTTAGTAGCGTGGAAAAGTGTTCCCTCCATAATTTGGTCCTGAAACCTTCCGTAAGTCGCCTAACTCTTTGGTAAAATTTTCGGGCATTCTTCCTCAGGGCCAGCATTTCAAGCTCTTCGAACTCACGTATTTCGGCCTCTCTCTTCTTATTGCGGCAAATACGTCTCGCTTCCCTCTTCAGATACCTATAGCAGTCCCACATAGCGTGCGTTGCACCCGATCGCAGTGTGGCTCTGCAGGCGGCATCTTTTTTCTCTGCAGCTCTNGCATCTTTTTTCTCTGCAGCTTCTTGACATTCCTCATCGTACCAGTTGTTCTTTCGGGCTCGCTGAAATCCAACTACTTCTTCGGCGGCGGTACTTAATGAGCGCGAAATGTGGTTCCATTGCTCGCATATGTCGGTTTGTTGAAGAGGGCTCTCTGAGAGCAGGTGTGAGGGTCGAGTAGCGAATGCATTGGCTGTCTGTTGTGATTGCAGCTTTTCGACGTTAAGCTTTCTTTGAATATTTAGGCGCACATTTTTTGCTGCACAGAGGCCGGGGCGTATCTTGGCTGCAACAAGATAGTGGTCCGAGTCGATGTTTGGGCCTGGAGTGTACGTACGTCCTGCCTGCCTTCCGTCTATCCCAACATGATCGATTTCGTTTCTCGTTTTTCGATCCGGAGACATCCACGTAGCTTGATGAATCTTTTTATGCTTGAACCTGGTACTGCATACTACCATGTTTCGAGCCTCGGCAAAATTGATCAGCCTCATTCCGTTGTCGGACGTTTCGTCGTGGAGGCTGAATTTTTCGACAGTGCTTCCAAATATCACTCCCTTGCCCACCCTGGTATTGAAGTCGCAAAGCACGATTTTGATATCGTGGCGGGGGCAGCGCTCGTACGTGCGCTCCAAGCGCTCATAGAAGAGATCCTTGGATACCTCATCCTTCTCTTCTGTCGGGGCATGGACGTAGATGAGCGAGATGTTGAAGAATCTCGCTTTGATGTGGATTATGGCTAGACGCTCGTCCACCGGGGGAATGACAATACTCGGCGACGGAGTCTCATCCTAGGCATTGCTTCGCTTCTTCTTCTTGCCTTCTTGTTATCTACGTTCTTTGGTATAGCCGTGCAACTGTAACTGCATACCCAGCACAACGACTATACCCCATTGCACTCTGTCTCATTTAGGTGCATTTATTTTATGATATTAGGTAAAATCTGAATTTTCCAGTTTTCATCCCTGGTGCATACCAATAGGTTAATTCCTTATCTTTTTGGACTAAAATCTGAAAAGTGTCAAAATGCCAGAGCGTAAGCAAAATGCGCTCGCTAAAAGAGAATAACAGGAAAAGTAAAGGAACGCAAAAAACCAAATTTTTAGTCCAAAGAATGGCAACAACAAAACTAACGTCAAATAAGAACAGAAATGTACGTACAAAACACATTCACACAAGCACAAGCATAATAAACACTTGCTATATCAATTATTTTTTGCCTTCTTCCAATTTTAATTCATTTCTTTTACTTTTTAGATTATTCTCACTTTTAGCGTATTCTTTAATTTCCGTTAATTTAAATTCAGTTGAGTTTGACACTTTTCAGGATTTTGCCAGAAAAAATTCTTCTGACTAAATCTGACTACTTCGGACTGATGAGAGTCACTCTCACTGACTGTTGCTCTCTCATTTTCATGTCATTTCCGAGT